TTAGCTATATGATCTCCAGCAAGTTACTTCTATTGCTTGTTTCTATCAGTAAAATAGATATAAGGATAAAATTTACTCCAAGGATTACTTTGAGGATTAAACAGTTATTTGAAGAGCGCATGAATGTAGACATATAATGCTTATTTTTATCCAATCCCTTTATAAAAATTTTCCTACAAAATAATCAAAATTTTTATTGTGCAGCTGTCTTCTTTCTCAATGTTATCAAGCTTTTCCAAATTTTCGCATTCCAACTGTGCTCCCCAACAACTTGCAAAAATAACAGAATGCGACTGTTATCTTCAGTCCCTTTCCCCCCTCTAAACCTGCTATTTTTTTCTCTCTAATCCATCTCAGTTTAGAATTAGGTCGGGAAATAATGAATGAAAAGCGAAAGCCTGGTTCGGTTATTTATAGCCCACGCACTCCAGTTTAATTATATTCAGTAAACAAGTAAGGGGAAGGCTTGCGGAAATAAGGCCGAGCTTGGGCCAGAAGAATTCACAGCCGGCTCCGTCCCGCAACGGCCAAGGTGAACCACCATTCACCACCGGCTGAAACTTGACCCCTACAGCCAATGGGCGGAGGCCGGAAGTGTGGCCCGCCCCCGGGGCGAATAACCAATCAGAAGCAAGTACCCCCGCGCTGAGGGCGGAAGTGAAGAGTTCTAGTTCCGGACGCGGCCGTCGCCATCTGTCACCGTAGCTTCCGCACCACCGGCCGGTCACCCTTGCCCTGCGTGTCTCCGCGGCGGAGCCTGCTTCTCGCCCTGCCACCTCTCCGCTCCGTTCTTGTCCCTTCCTTCTTTGCCTAATGGATCTGGTCGGAGTGGCATCACCTGAGCCCGGGCCGGCAGCGGCCTGGGGACCCAACAAGGTGAGTGGTGATCCGGGGCTGGCGTACTTGCCTTGGTCCCTAGGGCTGGTTGTCCTCGAATGCCCGCAATTCAGAGAGTGGGACCCCGACGACCTCAACTAGGGGGTACCGGCAGCGGGATTGGGGTGTTGGGAAGTGGCGGCGGAGGGCGGCTGTGGCTCCCAGAGGCTGGCCTGGGTACACTGGGGGTCTGTCGTTAGCTCTGCACCCCGTCTTCTGCATCTCCGTCTCGTGTATTTGAACGGAGCCCCCTTTGCGACGCTGACGTTAGAGCGCGATCTTGTTTTTCACAGGATAAGTGATTCAGCCCAATATACAAAAAGCTAAATTGAAAGTTGGCCTGGAAAGCTATTTCCTTAATTTGACAAGTGTAATGATCCCCGTTGGGTGATTTCTTGTTTTTGCAGTGGTGGAGATAAAACCCAGGCGCACCTTCCTCTTGCGAGGCTCATTCTGAAGTGTACACGACATACTGTCAAACCGTTGTGGATTTTCGTGATCTGCCTGGCTTCACCATTTAAACTTCTTCCTACAATGGCAAACTTAAGGCTTTTATTTCACATTAAGTTTCAGGGTTTCAGGCTGCCCGTTTTCGTGTTATTTTTCACTAGAATGATGAAAAGACTAATGTCATTTTATTGAGGGTTTGCTTGAGAGCGAGAGCACTTCCTTGAGATTTGTGTTCCTCAAATTAATGTTGTGAAGGAATCCAGCTTTTAGGTTTATAATTGTTCTTTGTATTCTGGCACAGAATGCTTATTTCATTTGAAAGTTTCCCTGTTAGTCTTATTGGCCCTTCAGGCATGGACTTAACAGAAAAGGAGGTAAATAATCAGTTATTAATTAAAGGAAAGTTGATTTTATAAAAGTCAAAACTGGGAAGACTCTAAGATACTTCATTTATAAATGTGGTTACAACTGCATGTTATTTCACTTGTTTTTGTTAAGGACTTCTTTACAAGGTCAAGATCAATAGACATAAAAGGGCAAAATTTGTAGACAGATACCAGTGGAAATATACTTTACATGTTAAATTCCTCCATTTAAACTCCCACACAATTGTTTTTAAAAAACTGCTTCAAAGGAACAAGTTTTACTTATACACAATTAATTGGATAAAATATTTTATGTCCATCATAGTCTCATTTAAGTGAACATCATCAGAAATATAAAATTATGTTTTCATCAGTTAGCAAAAAATATTCTCCTGGAGTTTATTGAGAAGACAGGGTTTTAACAGGCAAAACTGTTAAAAAGAGGCTAAACAAATCACTTATCCATTCCTTTTCTAATCTTTTAGAAAACCAAAGTAAGTACAGATGCCTACAGGAAGGAGGTGGAGATGTGAGGAAGGTCTTTAAAAATGGAAGGAATGTGTAAGGCCAATTGATACTCAAACTACAGTTAGGACATTTTACACTCTTAAAACTCATTGAACGAGTTCACTCCCCAGTACTGGAAAAAAAATAATTGAAGACTGCAAAGAACTTTTATTATATTGGTTATGTCTATTGATGTTTATCATAACAGGAATTAAAATCAAGAAGTTAAAATTTGTTTAAGTCATTTAAAAGTCACGTTAAAAACTTTTTTTTTCTGAGACAAGGTCTTGCTATGTAACCCATCCTTGTAGCTACCTCAGGCTTCTAAGTACTGGGACTACAGGCATGCAACACCATGCCATGCCTGTTATAAATAACATTTTTATATTAAAAAGAAACTTTTCTAGAAAAAATAGTGAAGAAAAGAGTATCACTTTACATTTTTACAAATGTCTTTAATGTCTTCCTTAATAGAAGATAGTTGATTCTCATATCTTTTTTCATTCAGTCTGTTGTGATACGTTTTGAATAAAGTATATGAAAAAATCCATCCTCACAGATATATAACTTCAGATGTATTTGAAGATGAGTAGTAAGAGCACAGTGGAAATATTGAGAACAAATTTAGTTTCTAAAACATACGCATTTATACCCTAACTTGCTGCTATAGAAAATTTTAGAAAACACAGAAATACACAAGCACATACTCCTTTAGCCATCAGAGTTATGATATCATCACATTTGATGTAGAATCTGGAAAACGCTGTACTTGAAAGAATGAGACTAAAAAGGACAAAGAATGTCTTAGTATGATTATGAAAATTTTAACTTCACAGACCCTCGGAAAGGTTCTTGGAGACTCTACTGTTAAAGTCCAGAGATGCCAGTTATAAAATGCCAACCTGTTATTATGGACAAAGAGTTTTAGGGACTATGCCAAGAGAGGATTGGCAAATGTAGATAAAAGTGAGGAAATATGTAACTATCTTGGAAAGAGAACTGTAAAAAAATGAATTAGTGATATTCCTCAAAACTGCCATGGTCATTAAAAACAAGAAGAGTCTGAGAAACTCAAAACCAAGAGGAGCTTAAGGAGAATTTGACTACTAGATGCAATGTGTGTCCTCTGCGTGATTCTGGAACAGAAAAAGGGCATTAAGGGAATAATTTAAGGTAGGCTGAGTAAAGTAAGGACTTTAGTAAATAGTAATAATGTATCTGTGTTGCTTTACTAATTGTGACAAATGTACAATATCAATTATTAATGTAAGATGTGGATGATGGAGGAAACTGAGTAAGGGGTATTTGGAAATTCTGATATCTTAGCAGTTTTTCTGCAAATAGAAAATTATTTTAGAATAAAAAGTTATTTTTAAAATGGATTAGTGTTGTTTGGTAGGCCCAAACCACTTTTTCTAGAGACCCTTGTCTAGACATGTAAAATGCCTGGATCATATCCACTAGCTGCATGGTTACAAAAGGGATCTTCCTGTGGTTTGTGGTTTTCTTGACTTGCTTCAAGTAGAGGACTGAATTTTTGTTATGTACCTCCTTCACATTTTCTATTTTTGATTTTACTTAACTTCCCATAATTGTCTTCAGTAAAACCTTTTTACAAAGTGGCACAGACAGCTAGGGACATATTAGGAGCTTGAAGGAAAGAGGGGGTGATTTCCCTCATCTGCAGTCAACCAGGGGCAGGAGATTGTGGTAGAGGGGAAGAACCCTGAGGAGCAGAGTTCAGTGGTGACACTTCCCACAGGAGAGGCAAACGGGATGGGTCTTGTTCTTTAGCAATAGGAAAAAGAACTAGGGAAGCTGGCATGTGAGTATATTGGCTGCTGTGTTAGTTCTTTTGCATAGCTGTGACCAAAATACCTGAGAGAACAACTTAAAAGGAGGAAGGATTTAATTTGGCTCATGGTTTCAGAGGATTATGTCCATAGTCACTTGACAACGTGTTTCTGGGCCCATGTGAAGCAGTTTATCATGGTGGTAGAGGCTCTTTACCTCATGGTGAACAGGAAGAAGAGTGGAGGAACTGACATCATGGCACACAGAAAACAGAGTGGAGCCTCCACGATCTAATGTTCTGGGAAACAACCTCACAGACCCACTCAAAGATGTGCTTTAATTAATATCGTAGGCATTTCTTAATTCAGTCAAGTTGACAATCAAAATTATGCATTACAGACTCCTTAGAAACGAGTCTGAGATGATATATCTTCAGATCTTGATGCTACGGAGATTTTATTTTGATGAACAGAATCGTAGAAAATAGTTTTGGATGGCTAGGATAGAGCAAAATAATGAGTTTTCTCCCCTCGCCTTAGGTTTATTATTGCTTTTTAAATAGTCAATAAAGAGTTTGAGCTACTAAAAAGTCACAAGATGATGACAGAGGATTCTCCAACATACACCTGCTGGTACCTATTCATAGGAAAAGCCAAATAAATTTTCCAAGCTCCCCCAAGTGGCATGAGCTGCTTGTGGCATAGGGAAGGCCCAAGGAGGTCTGCTCTGTGCCCTGAAGCTGTCCCTCACACAGCCTATGAAATGTTATGGAGGGATTTTGACGGCTGGTTTGAAGGATTTTCACTTGATTTCAAAGTGTGGGAGTTGACAACCTTTCTGAAATCTTATTTACCTAACCTGAGGAAGTTGCCTCAGCATGAGGTTTGCCTTTTCTGAGAAACAGTCAGGTAATATTTTACTTAATATCTTAGTAGGATTAAGATAAACAAAAGGCTAGATGCCTTGGAAGTGGGCAGGCAAGACAGAGGAAAGGACTTCAGAATAATAAGCAGGTCAAGAGGCACCAAGACTTCTGCGCTTAAGGACAACCTGGCAGTTCCATTAACTCTCTGCAGTATTTCCTTGTGGCATTTATTATTCAGTAAGTACCTGAGTACTTCTTTATGTCTGAAGCTGTGTGCCAGGCTTTCAGGATGAGAAGGACTCCACCCCTCAAAGGGCTCATGCTCCATCATGGTCAATGCATGAACCCTAGTGATCAGACCTGTGCTAGCAGTATTTAAATGGTGGTATTTAAACGAAGAGGATCCAACTTCGATGACATGGAGACAGCTTTATAGAGGAGATGACATTTAATTGGTGAAATAGAGAAGGCAGAAAAAATCCTGAGAGAGAAAAGCACACATGAAAGCATGGAGGGGTGAAATGTGCTATATTTGGCATATAATTAGTGGTACTAGAGTGGTGGGTAGATGATTTTCAAACTGGAAAGATAAATTAGGGCACAGTTGTAAAGGGCATTCCTTGCTGAGGGATTTGGATTTTATATTGCAGACAGTAGGCTTCTCACACTTCAGAAAAGATGATTAGGGAAGCAGCAGAGCTAAACATGAAGAAATCCAGCCTCTTTAAGTTCTACTACCTTGATTCAAGTCTTGGCACTTACACCTAACAGTCTTGTCTTGGGTTTAAAAAAAAGACTTCATTTGTCTCAGTTTTTAAACCTTTAAAATGTGTATAATGTTGCAACTATTCAGTTGCGGTGTGATTTAAATAATCTGTGTAAGTTGTATATATTTAGTTAGGTAAATGAGTGAAATATAGGGAGTATTGAAATGTTACCTGTTGAGCTGAGATAGCTCAGTGGTAGAGTGTGCTTGCCTGGCATGTGGAAGGTCCTGGGTTAATTCCCCAGTACTGCCCAAAGAGGGGAGGGGAGGGAAGAGGACGGCGGAAAAAAAAAGGAAGGAAATAAGGAAGAAAATATTTTCTATTATGCTACTGGTAGTCATTGTCAAATACTAGTGAGAATTCTGAATCACCTGCCTTTTGAAACCTGGACTTTGAAATTGATGAGATCAGGGTTAAAGAGCAGAAGGAAGTCAGCAGAGTCACAAGGCAAAAAGATTAACTATGTTCTGTAGATTACAGAGAGTTTCAGTTTTATTGCTGAAAAGCTCTGAGTGAAATAAAAGTCACATCTGACTTCCAGGAAGCCTCCCTGTTTTCTCTAGGTCTGTATAAGGCTGGAACCCATCTACAATGGCTACTCTAGGTGTGTGCTAGGGACTAGGTATATGTCCTCACTCTCAGGCTGTGACCAGACAAAACTTGATTCTGATTCACTCAGGCATAAATATAGTCCATTGTTTATCTCCCTTAGGCACTCCACCCATACAGCCTGAGCCAAAATAATTCCTGACCCACAATGAACAAAGGTCCATGTGTAGTTGTTCTTGAGAGTCGTGCCAGTTAGAGCTGTGCTAGCTAACCTTGACTAAATAATTTTGTGGCTAATACAGATATCATCCTTTGCTAAATTCTATATTAGACACTCATTAAAGAATGAGTTAGGGTTTTATCTCAAAGGTAGTGAAAAACAAAAAGATTTAACTAAGGGAACAAAACCAGTCATCTGCATTTTAGAAAAACCATTGTGCTATTGTGTGGAGAACTGAAAAAATTAAGACAGGGAGCAGAAAAATTAGTTGGGAATTAATGGGGAAAATTGTGAAATAATTCTAGAATTTGTGTTTCTAGAAGGCAGAGATAGTGGTGTCACTGAGGAAGACCAGCTGGTTGGCCAGTTAACTCAAGAAAAGTCTTACAGACTATTACTTCACTATAATCATATTGTCCAAGAGTATGATTCTCATATTCTAAAGTTCAGAGATATAATTTTTGTGAGTTTTAGTTTTGTTTTATGCCAAGGTATCTTGAAGAGGAGTTGATACAGACTTTTACATTTAGCTGAGACTTAGTGCTTAGGTTAGAATAGGGTATAACTTCTAAGAGGGCTTTGGATTGTGCTAGTTGGTATGGACTATTCCTGTAAGAAAATCTACTTGGGAAACTAAACCGTAAGCAGAAGGTTGGAGGTACTTGAACTCCTTGACTGATGGGATGATGCTACAATAGCCTGGTACTTTCCTCAACCAAGAACATACTTACCAAGCAGGCCAGAAAGCACTTCTAGCTGATTTCGTTTATATTTTTCCTTGACTAGATTTGAACCAGGAGATTGTGTTCCTTTTAAGATGATTTCTAAAAATAGCCATTCATTTTGGGTTGATAAAACTAGTTAAGTTCTCAAAAGATAGCTCTGTTTCTAAGTTAATTCATTATTTGATGAATTGAAAATCTTTTTTTTTTTAATAGTGTCCATGGGCTACCCCTCAAAACACAATATCATGTTCTTTGGCTGATGTGATGAGTGAACAGTTGGCGAAAGAATTGCAGTTAGAAGAAGAAGCTGCCGCTTTTCCTGAAGTTGTGTAAGTAAAATTCATAAAGTTTCTATTTTATGTATCAGCTTACTATGACAAAGTTTTAGGGTTTGATTAATAATTGTCCTGACAGATGTTTAAGAAACACATTTAGAAAAGCAGTGCAATAAGAAGATTACCATAACTCAGCACTGGTGGCTCATGCCTGTAATCCTAGCTACTCAGGAGGCAGAGATCAGGAGGATCATGGTTGGAAACCAGCCCAGGCAAATAGTTCACAAGACCTTATCTGGAAAAAGCCCAACACAAAACAGGGCTGGCAGAGCGGCTCAAGTGGTAAAGTGCATTGTCTAGCAAGTGTGAGGCCCTGAGTTCAAGCTCCAGTCAGTATTGGCATAAAAACAAAGAAAGAGAGGGAGGGAGGATGGGAGAGAAAGAGAAAGGGAAAGGAAGGGGAAAGGAACAGAAGGAAAGGAAAGCACACCATACTAGGAATCTACCAGTGTTTGAATTTGGTTGTTGATTCTGTGACTGGCTTTCAGTACAGATTGAACATGCAGAACATTTCAGATTTTGAAGTATTGCAGATTCAAAACTTTGGATCAGAGATGCTCAACTGGTAGTCTATGCAAATATTATAAAATATGAAAACTTTGAAATCTGAAATGCTTCTGGTCCTAGGTATTTCAGATAAGCAATATTCAACCTGTATTATTTTGGACAAACCACTGTTTCTCTGGGCTTTGTTAGTTCATATTAATGCATAGTTGAACTAGATGAGTTATAGTTTTCCAGTGTTTGTAGTTTATCCTTTCATAAGTTATCTCTCCTTTGACTAGAATACAGAGCAAGTGCATTCTGGATCTCAGTGTGGATTTTCTGATATATCCCTTAGCTCTCTTAATCTTAGTTAATGCCCTCACAGGTATAGGCTTGGTCTTGAGCCTAGCTGGGCAGGAAAAGGTGAATGGTTAGTAGAATTTTTGCTCATTAACACTGCAAGACCAATTCTACTCTTATAATTGATAGGCTCTGTTTGTATCAGCACATTAGTCTGTGTCACCTTTTTTTTGACTAGTGTTGCTGAAGGACCATTTTTTCTGGAGAAAACATTGACACTTCCAGTGACCTAATGCTGGCTCAGATGCTACAGATGGAATTTGACAGAGAATATGATGCACAGCTTAGGCGTGAAGAGAAAAAATTCAATGGCGATAGCAAAGGTACTTTAATGCTATTATGATGACTCCATTGGGTGGTAGAAAATTCTGTGGCTGTGCTCCTAAATAAATCTCCCAACTATTTTTGCCTTTTAAGTTTCCATTTCTTTTGAAAATTATCGAAAAGTGCATCCTTTTGAAGACAGTGATAGCTCTGAAGATGAGGTTGACTGGCAGGATACTCGGGATGATCCCTATAGACCAGGTATCATGCTTTTAATCTCTGGGGGTGGCATGAAGGTATAGGAGAACTAAGCTTTCCGATGTACCGTATTAATTTTATATTTATCTTGAATCTCATTGAATAAGTTGCTCTGTTAGATTCAAATGTCTGCTCATATAATGTTGAATGCAGCAATTTAGTCATTGCTGTTTTTATATGCTTAATTGCCTTTAGCAAAACCAGTCCCTACTCCCAAAAAGGGTTTTATTGGAAAAGGAAAAGACATCACTACCAAACATGATGAAGTGGTATGTGGGAGAAAGAATACAGCAAGAATGGAAAATGTAAGTTACACAAAGTATTATCTCTGAACCAAGAGTTTTATTTGAATGTTTTAAAAAGAGTCTTTTAAGTCTCTAAAAATAACTTTCTAAAGATGTCCTAAATGATGATGTTGCAATATCATGCAAACTCAGCCACTAAAAGAGAATATAAAGTCAGAATGAAGCCCTACAATAGTACATTAAAAAATAATTTGATTTATATGATTCTAAAATTAAGGAATAGTTCTTATGTATCATTTGTTCTTTAGCATATTCTTCTTTCAAATTTATAATTTCTTTTTAATATAAAATAGCATCCCTATCCAGGAAATAGAAAATAGTTGTGGTTGGGGCTGAGAATGGGAAGAAGAAATGTTTTTTTACTATATATCTTTTTATACTTTTGGAAATTTTTTTTTTCATTTTTGCGATACTATGGTTTGATCTCAGGGCCTACACTTTAAGCCACTCTGCCAGCCCTTTTTTTTTTTTGATAGTTTCTATCAAGGTAGGGGGCTTGCAAACTATTTGCTCAGGCAGGATTCAAACTGTGATCCTCCTGATCTCTGCCTTTGAGTAGCTAGGATTACAGGTGTGAGCCACCCCAGGCTCTAGAATGTGTGTGTGTGTGTGTGTGTGTGTGTGTGTGTTGCTAGGGATTGAACTCAGGGCCTCACACATCCTACGCAAGCACTCAACTAATGAGTCACACTCCAGCCCCACACTTTTTGAATTTATCTCGTGCCCAAACTACCCCTGAAAAATAAAATTAAAAATTTGAATGTAGTTTTTTGAATGTATCATTTTTAACTTTTTCATAAATCTAGTATGTAATGTAAAACATTTAGATTTTTAGAACACAAAATGCTTGTTAAGTAAATGTTTTATTAAGTTATGTCATTTCTAGAGATATTCCTTATCTGACTCTAAAACAGTCCTGTCCAGCAATGAAAATTGTCAATAGCTCTGCTTTCCAATATGTAACTGCATTTGCTATTAAGCATTTGAAATTTGAATGGTGCAACTAAGGAACTGAACTTTAAATTTAATTTTAATTAACTCAAATTTAAATATCCACATGTGGCTATGACTACCTAATTGAACTGCACAGCTCTAGGACATAAGGGCATAGCTTGCCATACTAACTCAGTCCTCAAAAATAATTATGAAATCTGGATGCTGTGGCCCATACCTATAATCCCAGCTACTTGGGAAGTAGAAATTTGAGAGAATTGCTGTTTTAGGCCAGCCCAGGCAAAAAATTAGCAAGATCCCATATCAACCAGTAGCTGGGGCTGGTTTTATGTGCCTTGTCATCCTAGCTATGTAAAGTGTAAATAGGAGGATCACTGTCCAGGCCTGCCCAGGCAAAAATGCAGGACCCTTTCTGAAAAATAGCAAGTGCCAGGCCCTGAATTTAATCCCCAGTACCATGAAAAAAAAAATACCATTATTAAGTCATATTTTTTGGTAGGGTTTGGTAGAGCCACAATATAACATTGTGTTTTTTATATAAAAATAAGGTACAAAGCATATGCTGAAAGAGCTTAGTTTTAGATGTGATTAGATATTTTCCCTGCGTAGAATAAATACTGTCTGTTGGGCTGAAGTTTCTTTAGTAGTATTGTTCCACTTTGTATTTGTGAACTATTTTTCTCTATGGTAACTGTGGGTTCTGTTTTTATAGATTGACCACCTATTAAGTAGAAAATCTGTTCCAAACGAAAACTGATCTTCTCATTGCCGTCTTTTTTAACTGTACCTATCCAAAAATATTTAAATGCTAATTCTTCCATTTTTGTCAGTTTGCACCTGGGTTTCAGGTAGGAGATGGGATTGGAATGGATTTAAAACTATCAAACCATGTTTTCAATGCTTTAAAACAACATGCCTACTCAGAAGAACGTCGAAGTGCCCGCCTCCATGAAAAGAAAGAACATTCTACTGCGGTAAGGATTATTAGTTTTTGTTATTGTTGTTTTTCTTTCTTTAATGGAAAAATCCATACTAGGAATTTCATGTTTGATATTTTTTTTGTCTTCTTTTTCATGTTCTGATATTTTTTCATGAGATTGGCTTTTCAAATACAATGCAAGTGGCTTTGCTATTTGACTTTTAGATTTAACACTTATTCAGAACTCACGTTTTAGTGGCAATAGTGGATAGATTACATTGCAACTAAATATTCCAAGATTTAAAAAAAAAAAATTCCTGTTTTTGACATATTTACGCTCAGCAGTTGCCATTGTTTTACATTAATGAAGCCAATATCTTGAGATAAACTAATTTTTTAACCCTTAGAAAAACTACTTAAAAGAATGCTAGAAGAGCTATTTAAATGTTGGTGATGAAATAAGATTTAAACTAATGTTTGAGGGTTTTTTAATCCTGTTTATTTTTTTAGATTAAGGGCAGAATATGAAAGTCAGAACAAAGCTCTAAGAAAAGGCCAGGAGGCTGGTGGAAAACCATATAGGGTGGGCAGGGCAGGGTAAGTTTCTAGGAGTTTAGTCCTGGCTCAGGGCTGGAAGGGAGGGGTATTGTCTCATGGTGTCCCAAAGTGTCTGTGTTACAGGGGTTCTATCTTCACCAAAGACAGAAAAGAGGCCAGGATCCTTGGTGGAGAGGGCCTAGCCTGGTGTGGTAGGGGTCTAAAACTAGAAGGGGAAGCCAGAAAGTTCGGGGGTAGTCTTTGTCTGTCTGTACATTGCATAGAGAGATACAGCATCTGTATATGCCTGCCTAGCAATCCATTGGTCACCCCTTACCACCTGTGTCCACTGCCTCCTGCTCCAGGGGTATCTACCATAAACTTGGATTTCTAAATCTAAATCCAAAACACTGTCCTGGGGGTTGGAGAAGAACATATTCATTGCTGTGATAGGGGAGGAAGGCAGCAGGTGGTGCTACGCCCTTTGCCCATCTAGCCTCCTTCCAGTGTGCTACCCTTGGAAGAGAGTATGGGTGGATGCCTTCCATGCTTCCATTTGGCCCTTTTCTGGGGATATTTGTCTCTGCGAGGGCAACCAGAAGTCAGGGACAGGTTTAGGGGGAATCCTGAGCACTGCCCTTGTGGCCCCTGAGTTTTGTACCAAACATTACAGAGCTACCAGGCCACCTGGAACCCATGACTTTTTCTACCTGGTCCATTTTCAGGGCCCCTACCTGGGAAGAGGGGCAATGTGGTGGACACAAATATATGGTGCAGACCCCATAGCTAGGCTTCCCTTGGAGAGGCTAAAGGCCCTCTGCTCCTTTCCAGCCCTGCCCTCTTCTCCCCACAAGTGGGTAGACAGAGCTAGGAAGTCAATATGACACGAGGAAGAAGGTGTGCCCATACTTGGGCCAGGTGTTCCTGTTGGGGCCGGTCCTACTCATTCTCTTAAGTTTGAGCACCTGGGAGTTCTCTCCTGAGAGGTCTTCCAGCACATGGATCTTCACACTGGTACCCATGGTGAACTGGAGTTAAGTGGAGGCCTGGCTTCTTCCCAGAGTGCAGTGTGAAGGTACAATAGATGAACTCATCCTCAGACACTTCCAGTGCAGGATGCAGGTGGGCATGGCTAGGAAGAGCTGGGCCTGAGTTGCTTTCACTAAATTTCTGCCCAGTGTCCACATTCAGAAACTCCCCACTCACTCCATGGGTAGTCTGCTTTGGTAGCTCTTCTACCCTTTGGACATTGGTTGCTGAGGCTCTGCTGTCAGCTCTTGAAGTCCCTGTGGGCCTTCAGGAAATCCTGATCCCTGAGGATGTCCCTCACAGAAAACAGTGATTCTTCAGTCTAAACTTGAGACTGTCTCCAAATCCAGAGCCCTAGTCCATATGCTTCATCAGAGGTATCACTCTTCTAGTGTCTAACTTAGAATGGTTCTTTTAGATAACTCACTTTCAAGCAATAGGAGTTATATTTATGAGTTTGTATTTGACAGCACTCTTCTAAGAATCTGTTTTATATATATTAGGTAAATTTAAGGGTTTAAAAAAACAAATACTTCAAACATTAGATGCTTAGAAGTAGCTCAAAAAATGTTTTATAATTAGCAGTTATTTTCACTTACAGTACTTTATCTTGTTGCAGGAAAAGCAGTTGATCCTTAAGACACGTTTACTTATGTATAAGATGGTCAACTCTGGACTGTTGGAGACAATCACTGGCTGTATTAGCACAGGAAAGGAGTCTGTTGTCTTTTTCACGCATATGGAGGGAGGTAAATGAGCAAACATGTTCCCATTATGTGAACAAAAAACTTAGTCTCTTCTCCAGGATTTGATGGATTTACTCAGAATCAAAGTTAACACCGCATGGCAAGTAGAGTGATTAAAAAAGTAGTATTGTAGAAAGGAGTCAGATGCCCAACAGCTCTTTTCTCCTAAGTAACCACTAGTGACAGTTTTAAATTAATCCTCTAGAAATGTGCATGCCTTTATCCTTTACTTAAAAAAGAGATTGTATTCTGCATTTGAGATTGTATTTTTTTTCTGTTAATATCTTTAGACTTTTCTATATAGTTAGCTTGTACCACAGCTATTTTTAACTGATAGTAATTCTGTTATGTTCACATTATCATTTTAGTGTACTTTTCAAATACATCGTTAGGCTCAATTCCTAATGATGAGATTACTGGGCCAAATACTATGCATTCCCCCTGTCTTTTTTTGTAATGGAAGGCCTCATTGAGTAGGGAGTATAAGATTTTACTCATTATTTGGGCCCCTGAGCTGGCTATATAGGAAGCAATGTTTCTTGATTTCTCCTATATATGAAAAACTTGTTTTAAAAATTTTTTTTTAAATTCTTTATAGTCACACCAATGGTCAGAGTCTTGAAGTTGTGCTTACCTTTTTTTTGGGGGGGGATGGTACCAGGGTTTGAACTCAGAACCTCATGCTTAAGAGAACACCCACAGAGTGGGAGAAAATATTTGCCAATTATACATCAGACAAAGGACTGATAACCAGAATATACAGGGAACTTAAAAAACTAAATTCTCCCAAACTAATGAACCAAAAAGAAATGGGCATGTGAACTAAACAGAACTTTCTCAAAAAGAAGAAATTCAAATGGCCAGAAAACACATGAAAAAATGCTCACCATCTCTAGCAATAAAGGAAATGCAAATTAAAACCACACTAAGATTCCACCTCACCCCTGTTAGAACAGCCATCATCAGCAACACCACCAACAACAGGTGTTGGCGAGGATGCGGGGAAAAAGGAACCCTCTTACACTGTTGTGGGAATGTAGACTAGTACAACCACTCTGGAAAAAAATTTTGGAGGCTACTTAAAAAGCTGGACATCGATCTACCATTTGATCCAGCAATACCACTCTTGGGGATATACCCAAAAGACTGTTACTCCAGAGGCACCTGCACATCCATGTTTATTGCGGCACTATTCACAATAGCCAAGTTATGGAAAACAGCCAAGATGCCCCAGCACTGACGAATGGATTAAGAAAATGTGGTATCTATACAACAATGGAATTTTATGCAGCCATGAAGAAGAACGAAATGTTATCATTCGCTGGTAAATGGATGAATTGGAGAAACATCATTCTGAGTGAGGTTAGCCTGGCTCAAAAACCAAAAATCGTATGTTCTCCCTCATATGTGGACATTAGATCAAGGGCAAACACAACAAGGGATTGGACTATGAGCACATGATAAAAGCGAGAGCACACAAGGGAGGGGTGAGGATAGGTAAGACACCTAAAAAACTAGCTAGCATTTGTTGCCCTTAATGCAGAGAAACTAAAGCAGATACCTTAAAGCAACTGAGGCCAATAGGAAAAGGGGACCAGGACTAGAGAAAGGTTAGATCAAAAAGAATTAACCTAGAAGGTAACACCACGCACAGGAAATCAATGTGAGTCAATGCCCTGTATAGCTATCCTTATCTCAACCAGCAAAACCCCTTGTTCCTTCCTATTATTGCTTATACTCTCTCTTACAACAAAATTAGAGATAAGGGCAAAATAGTTTCTGCTGGGTATTGAGGGGGGGGAGCGAGGGGGTGGAGTGGGTGGTAAGGGAGGGGGTGGGGGCAGGGGGGAGAAATGAACCAAGCCTTGTATGCACATATGAATAATAAAAGAAAAATGAAAAAAAAAAAAAAAGAACCTCCAGCTTGCTAGGCAGGTGCTCTAACCCCTTGAGCCACCCTGCCAGCCTGTGTTTGCCTTTTAATGTAACCGCAAATGCATTTCCCCCAAGAGCTGACAAATCTGCAAGTTGGTTGTTACATTCTGATTGTTAGGAGAATGCCTTCCAATTGCCTGTGAGAAGCCTAATTTATGCTGCTCCAGCAGTGTGAGCCCGTTCTGTTATTCTTACCAATGCTATCTATATTTTCATATTTTCTGTCAGTGTGGGAAAATGAAAGTAGTATCTTCGAATATTTTGTGTGCATTTATTTGTGATTAAGATTATAAATTCTTTCTGGTGCTTGCTTGCTGTTTTTGTTGTTGATTTGTGTGTTTTGTCAAACTGCCTCACTCATCCTTAACGGTTTTTATTTTTAACCTTTGATGTAATGAATGGCTCTTTCCTTCTGGTAAAATTGGTATCATACTGTACTTTGGCATTTGTAAATTATCAAACTAGAGAGTGAACTGGTGCATGGCTCAAGTGATCAGAGCACCTGCCCGCAAGTGCAGGGCCCTTGAGTTCTAACCCCAGTACTGCAAGGAAAAACAAAACAAAACAACTAGAGAGAGCAATTCAGTTTATACAACGAAAATAATGCTTTCAAAAAAACTAAATAGTTTTCTGTGCTTTATAACATGAATTACCAAAACTTTAGTAGCTTAAAACAACATACCATTATCAATTTTCAATAGGTACACTGCTGACTGGAAGTCCAGGTATGGTTTAGCGGGGTTCTCTGTCTAACCTGGGAGGTCTCTGCCTAGACTCAGTCTAAGTGTTACCTGGCTATGTTCCTTTCTGAAGCCTGGAATCCTCTAAAACCCTTAGTACCAAATGCTAGTTCTTTTGCATCTATAGGACTGAGGTCCCCACTCCTCTTAGCTGTCAGCCAGGGCCTTCTTACATTTTCTGACCTCTTATAGAATTCCGGCCCTTTCACATGGTAGCTCATGTCAAAAACCAGCAGAGAACCTCTCACTCATTCCTGCAGAAGACTGAGTCCTTAAATATTGTTTCAGCACAATAATATAATCTAGTCCAGGGAGGGCTGTCCAACCCACACTCAAGGAGAAGATTTATATACAGGGTGTACATATAAGGGTACCAAAATCTAGGAGACTAGCTTAGAATTCTGTTCTTTTTACAGAGTTCTTGCCATTTCTATCACTATCAATCTCAAGGGTGGCCAAGAAATCAAACAAAGTTTGGGGTTTTTTTTTCATTATTCTTAATTTATTTTAATTTATTTTTGGTGTTGAGGATGAACTCAGGGCCTTTGTATGCTAAACACTTGGGCCTGTGCCAAAGAACCTATGGCCAAATAGTCAAGGAGGAGAACATTACAGCAAGAAATGGGTGTAGTCAGTAAAGATTAAGTATGTCACTGTACAGTTTTGTAAGAGAGACTTCGTAGGGCCTAGGCATAGAGACAGAGCAAGATCAATTGCCAAGTACATTCAGGGAGGTGGTCAGATAAAAGTTAGATCTCAAGCTGCAATTTTAAAAATACACAGAAAA